ATCGGTTAAAATTGTGAAGTCAAATGGATAAGAAATCTAAAACCTTTACGTATATAAACTTTTTTATAACACAGATAAAATTCCTCCATGACAATAGCTGCATCATGTTTTTTTCAGCTTGTCCGTCTGTTTTGTGTTTTTATTGTGATAGACCATGGATAAGACATAGTGATTACAATATTTAAATGGAAATTGTTTTTATTGTTTTGTGTTTTTATTGTGATAGACCATGGATAAAACATAGTGATTACAATATTTAAATGGAAATTGTTTTTACTTTTAGGTATAGATCGTCCAGCAGGAAAGTTTACGGAGGACGACATGTTGATGAAGGTAAAGGACTATGTCACATCTGCTTTCAAGTTATTGGTAGAGGACCCTGTCTACAGCAATAAGCGGTATCCAATTCCAATCGAATTTGAGACAAGGAAACATTTGACTGTAAATCAGCTTAGCTCAATGAGTGAAATCGATTATCTGGATGTGATGTTTCAGAAAGTTGTTGAAAATAAAGTTATACAAACATACTGGTGTAAACTTACAAGAGAGAGCCTTGGTGATAATGCCTCAAAACAACTACTTGACATAATCATAAAGTATTGGATAAAAATTAGGGCTAATGCATTTTTGAAAGTGTATAGTAATTTGAAAAGGGAAAGTGGTAAACTATCAAAGAAAGGTGAAAAGTCTCTCAGAAAGGAGTTAAACACTTAAATTTTGAGGGCATACATTTATATCTTGCTGCAGATGACTAATGAATTTACCAAAGAATTTTTTAACATGTTTATTATTTTCCATATCAGAATAATTTATTGAGTGTAAAAAATTAATTATTAAATTTTAAGTTTGGCAGTAATTCAGTCTTTGCTGCAATTAACTGACTGAAACATATATAGTGAATTTTGTTTGTAACATGTTTTTGAATATAAGTGAATAAATTATTTGTTTAAAGTGTAGTACTGTAATTTAATTATAAATTTTAGTTTGGCAGTAATTCAGTCTTTGCTACAATTAACTGAAACATATATAGTATTTGACTGAAACATATATATATATATATATATTTGTTTGTAACATGTTTTTGAATATATATGTGAACACATTATTTGTTTGCAGTGTAGTTATGTATATAATGTGTTGATGAAAATACAAAATAATGGACACTACTAATGGCAAAACCTTAATTCAAATCTCTTTTTTTTGGTTCTGATAAGAACCGTTTGGTTTGAAAATTTTGTCTTCTGCCGACTTCAAGTTTG